TAGCTTCATCCCACCCGTCAGAGCAATTATGTTTGTCACAATGCAAACACTTAATGAGATTTTCAGCACACACAGAAACACAGGTGCAGGACGTGGACAAACACACTTCCTCTCGCCCTGTATTCTCCTTTTGTTAGCGGCGCTCGCTAAGGCTAATTTGAACAAACACCTAATGCTCGGTATTAACCTTCGCCGTGCAACTCCTCCCATATTGTTTGTGGTACAGATGAATGTACCTCAAATTTTGAAGGGAAGTGTGCGATTACTGTTCTAAGCGAATCAAACTTGTGACTAGCAGACAATAAAACCCATACACTTACATTTGAGGAACTTGACATTGTTCAATATAGTGCCCACAACACCCTGGAAACCAACTTGTAACATATTATTTTAGATTACTAGATCATTTTTTAACCCACACTCTTAGAAGAAATGGTTCCATCCCCCGCTTCATATATGGAACTCCAAAATGGTTCTGTATAGAACCATTTTTTTGGTAAAAGGTTCTATTGGCCATGTATGGAACCCCAGGGTTCTATATAGAACCCCGAGGAACCCTTTTTTTAAGAGTGTATAGAACCTTTTAGGGGTTCCAAATACGTAGCGCTGATAGAATCTTTTAAGGTTCTATATAGAACCTTTTCTTCTAAGAGTGCAACACAAACAATAAACATTCCCCTCCACACACATTTGAAAAACCTAAGGCAGAAACACACATTATGTCCTGTCAAAAAATATAATATAGAATATTTATATAATAAAAAATATTTCCAATATAAAAATCAGAATATCCTTAAAGCAAATAATACATTTATTTATTGTAACAAAAATCATTATTTAAATCACACACATAAAACAACACACACTCATTATCCTCCACACATATACAAAACACCTAAAGCAGATAAATACACACTCACACACACAGAGGGAGAGAGAGAGAGAGAGACATGCAGCACATGCTAAGCAAATCTGTTTGAAGTCTGGGGTAGAATAAAAAAGAGACCCCTTCACACATGAAGAATTCATGCAGTAAGGGGCATGTGTGCGTGTGTGTGAGGGTGAGTGAGCGAGAGAGCGAGCGTTCGCAAAGCTCTGATTCCTTTTCTGGCCGTGGGGAGGGAAAGGGGGCTGGACTGTGTAAAGAAAGAGAGAGGGAGGAATCGTGCGCGTGCAGCTGCCCGCACTCCTCCGGCAGCAAGAGCCGAATCCTCTCCTCCGCGAGACGGAGAGACACAGGGGATAGATGACTAAAAGGAGCAGGATGTCTGACACAAGAGGTGGACTAACTGACACAGAGTGTTCAAGGAAGATCAGGATGGAGAGAAGTACTAGTAGGGTTTAGTGCTCGCTGGATGGAATTAAATGACAGACGTCAAGAAGAAAAGTTCTGGAGATAATGGAATGACTTATTTGCTGATGTTTGTGGTTTGAGAATGGGCTGTGACCGACGGACAACGACTTGCAATGACTTTATGAATAGTTTGTTTTTGAATCGCTCCTTTTTGATGGAAAAATGTGGGAATGGACACACAAACAGTACTGTTTTCTTGCGTCCCGCCTGCGTCGTTCTGGGTTGTGAATACATTAGATGATGGATTGGAAAGAAGTGTGAGTACTTTTAAAGCTTTTTTTTTTTTTTTCTGTGTGTGTTCGTGTGTGTAGTGGGTTTTGACCCATAGATGTCAGTTGCAACACACCCGCCTTAACGCCAGGAATTCTCGCCCCGTCCCCTGAGCTCACCTGCCAAACTCTACAAAGGCTGCTGTCTGGTTGTTTATACATACTTGAGATATGGATTGCTCTTTAAATGTGCAACATGTCAAAGCATGTTTGTTTAGGATTGCGTGGTGCAGTGAGTTTGAGCAGGTGGACAAGAAGAAAGTGCACATGGACGTGTGCTTTATAGCTGCTCTCCATTCATGAACCATGGCGTGGCTTTTTTTTTGTTTTTGAGGTGATAGAGATAGAAATAGAGATAGCTAGAGAGAGAGAGAGAGCATGTGTGCTTCAACAAGCAATTAATTTCAGCATTAGTGTACAGGTGTGTGTGCTGAGCATGCTTGAGCTGTTATTGTTAGTATCATGGAGTGCTTTATGACTACAAGCATTTCATCTCAAACCTTTCCAACGTATTAGTTGCATTTTTGCCAGCCAAATGTTGAAATATTTACCCAAAGATTAAATTTAGAATAACATAATGAATACCCCTCACCCCCAACAAAAAGGTTTTCCAATAACAAATACCTGCATTACCTGAAGCAAGGTAAACATGTATTTATTAATTGTTTATTTAGTGAAATTTAGTAAAAAAAAAAAAATTATATAAATTGCCAGTCTATTTTTTTATTCTAAATTATTGTTATTTATTATTATTTTATTTTTATTTATTTTATTTTATTTTTATTTTTTTATTTTTTTTACATTTTATGTCTGAGTTATTGTTTTGGTCAAAACGATTATCAATATAGATGTACTTGTTCTAAGCTTATACTTAAGTCAAATAACTTTTTTTAGTTTTAGATTTGATTATATTTCTTATTTTATCATAAGTGATTTAATTAAATATTCCTTTATTTTATATATGTATAGCAGTTTTTTGCAGATAATTCCACAAGAAAAATATTGTGTTACATCACATACATAAACTCTTGCTCTATCTGATTCACTCTCTCTCTCTCTCTCTCTCTCTCTCTGTCTATTCTTTTTCTTGTGTTCTGTCATTTCTCTGTTTCACTCATAATGCCTTCTGAATGCTCTGCTCACACATTTCTTCAATCCCCTACGTCTGTTTCACACACACACACACACACACACAATTGCTTCCTCTTGTGGGCGTCAGTTCCCTCGGGAGAGGCTGCTCCTGTATTCCATGTGGATGTTATAATTATTTCATCAGCCATCGGTGTGTTCCCTGAGTGCGCTCTTGTGCTGATACGGGGGCCAGACGGAGTGAGAGAAAAAAGGGGTGGGGTTGAGAAATGAAGGGAGAAAAAAGGGAAGGCCGGGGTTTTCACTTCTAGAGGTCCGAAGTGATGCAACGAGGGGAAGAGAAAGAAAAGATGTAGAAATGGCAGAAATACTGGGACACACACACACACACATGTCCAAAGAGCTAGAGCCTGCACTAATGATCAGGGCTCTTGCATCCCCAAGAAAAAGAAAAAAGACTTTCACCGTCTCCCTCGTGTTATTTTCGCCATATTTCCTTGATCTTATCACGGGACATACAAAGATTACTACCACACAAATATTCCATAATTTCCGTAATTCTAAATCCATCACTTTTGAATTGTAGGAGTAATTGAGATTAAGTGCATAACTGTATGGGAAACCTTCAAACAATGGGTTAATCATGTGTCTTGTATCTTAATTAATGTCTTTAATAGATAATAGTATCTACTAAAAAAAAAATTGTGTCATGTGTCAAAAGAGTCATGTGGTTCAACCAACCAGAAACATTAAAAAAAAAAGTTTAAACGGTGTCTTAAAAATATCAAATAATTTGTCCTTAGTTCAAGTCAGCTCATTTTGTAAAATGTCAAATGGTGCAACTTCATGGTATTTTTTGTTGTGTGTGAAAAGGTCACATTAGTCATCATGTAGTCACATCTTGGTTATCTGATGTGTTATTCTTCTCTTCTTTAATAACATTCAAAGTATTTGTAAGGCATGAAAAATTAAGACTGGCATGGCAATTACATTTGAGTTCCAAAGTGCTACTATAATGTGTGCTCTTAGCACTGGGATTTTCATTGTACTTCACTTTTGATTATTGCTGCATTCAGCGTGATTATGTCTGGTTATGGTTAAAGACCGCTGTGGACAGCTTTCCTTTAGTTAATCCTACACTGTTACATTTCAGCCCAAGAGAACAGCCTTAATGTACCACTTAATGTGAGCTAAGCCCCCAAACGTCACTTGATAGCCTTTGGTTTTTCACTATTCTTTCACTTCTAGTCTTTCTCTTTTCCCCCACTTACACTCATTTGTTACTCAATTTTGTTACAATTTTCAAGTTCAGTCTTACGATAGCTTGTTGGGAAGGTTGCTGTTGACATTACTACCACTTCATCTACTATTTCAGGAGTCCAGTAGTGACATCTCACATGGATATTCAGATTCATTTCCACACTCTAACTGGGTCACTGTAAAGCAGTCTTAGCAAATGGCTAATGTTAAGGCTAACTACAGGGCTGACCCCATTAACGTCAGTTTTTCATTTTAGAGGACATTTTTTCAAGGGTTTGTGTGCACAGTGTGCCTATTTCGTTGTGAAATAAAGAGGAGGAAAGCTGCCTGTGGAGAAAGACGGAGTTGGTCTGTGTTTACTTTGGCAATGCGATAGGGGGCTTTTGACCTTTCAGGTCTGATTTTATAGCATTGAGTTTTAAATGTCAAGCTCTACCATTAAATCAATCAGGAAAATACCAAAATGATTTCTTCCGTCTGAGTGAAAAAGAATTTTTTGGGAACATGTAGGGTTCCTTGAAAAATCACTTTTTGCTGTGGTGACAAAGAGTTTTGACTTCATTTTAATGGGACCCCCTTTGACAGAGTGATTGGATTTGAGAGATTTAGGCTGACTGCTTTTTTAAATGCTAAAAATTTCCTCAAAATACCTCATTCTACACTATTTTACATAATATATGTATATATATATTTATCGTTGGAATCTACAATAAATTCAAATTCAGATTTTTTAAGAACAGGCTGTTTTGCGACTGTATCTTTAAGATTTTGATATGTAAATGAGCGTTGTTATGACTGGATAACCTCAACATACAGCCAGAGTCGATCAGGATGGTATAGTTGCTAAATAGATGTTGTTTTGTGAACATGGGTGGTCAAATGTTATCGGTCTGACATGAATTGCATGATGGTCTGTTCTCAAACTATAAAATAATGAACAAAAGTAATGCATAAAACGTTCTCTCATTGATCATTCATTCAATATTTTAAGCTCCTAATCCATGACATATTTTTGTCTGTTATCCCAGGGCTGCTCAGAAGCTGAATCTGTCATCCAAAAGGAAGAAGCAGCAGCCGCCACTGGCATACCCCCAGGAGCCCTCCATCTACCCTACTAACTTTAGTGCTGTCCTCCAGTTTTCCCCTCCACCTGCTCCACCATGTCTGCTCAGGGCGGGGTCAAAGGCCAAGGAGAACCCTGGCATGGGCAAGGTCAGACTCTCTTCCTCTTTTATCTGTACCATTCAAGGTATATTGACATTAACACCTTCCAAACCAGAATATTGTGTATGTAATAAATACATTTTTCAATTGTAGCTTTTTTTTTTTTTTAAAAGAAAAGGCATCTGAAATAACAAACTAATGTAGTCTCGTCAAAAATATAGATTGTACATATTGATACTGAAATATCTGAAAACCTTATAAATACACAATTCAAGCTGCGCTTTCTCTCTCCGACATCAAGTTGACACAGAAACGTCTCCTCTCACTCACTCGTTTCATTTGCTCCGGATGAATATTGTTGGTGTTACGGGGCTTAAATTTCGGCGTGGGATTGCATGTATCACGCATAATTTGACTCATTCCCCCGATTTAGTGCGTGCACATAAAACCGCCTCTCAGTCCTAAATTGAGTCCATTTTCACTGCTTAACCATTTTCATAAAACCATTTTCACTGCTTATTGCACTTAAACAGTCAAATAGACACACCATAATGTTAGAATGTTAACACAGTCAGTCATGTTTTAAGTGAACGTAAACTGTTGAGAAAGTAAAAGCATGTGTAACAGTATGATGTGAGTCAGGTCTTAAAGTGACAGCAGCCTAATATAGCAGCTGATTAAAAATATCTATATGAAGAGTTCAGATGCAAAAGCCTCTAAGTGCCATTTAAAATTTTCTTCTAGAATGATAATTTTTATCAAGCTTGTATATTTAAGTTCAGTGATTTCACTTAAATGGCAATGATAATTACCTATTAATTGTTATTTAAGTGAAATTACTGAACTTAAATATACAAGTTTGATAAAAATCATCACTAAAGAAGAAAATTTCAAATGGCATTTAGAGGCTTTTGCATCTGAACTCTTCATATGTAGTTTTTTTCCCTATGGAATTGATGTCAAAATTGTGGCCAGTGAAAATGCTGAGTGGCTCGTAACTTTGGAAAACCAGTAGCCAAAGTGGCTGGTGAGCAAAAACCTCAAAGTCCAGCCCTGTCTATTATCCTGTCGTACCCAAATAGAAAGGGCTATTTTGCTGATGGTGAACAGATTGTGTGTTTGAGATCTCGGATCAAGAGTTGCAAGTTGGTTCAGCATCCATGCACCAGTCCTCCTCATTGTCCAGAGGGTTTGTCTTTAGCAACATATTACAGTATATATATATAGTGATGAAGAGGATTTGTTCCAGATTAGATGCCACCTGCTCTGAGAGATGATTGTCGAACAACATGCCAGAAACTGTCGCCTGCTGAAATGATTGATAAGTACCACTGAGAATGGACTCATTACATCCCAGCCTCACTAATGAGCTTCCCTTTCCTACTACTGCAAACACGCATCCGATGCTGCCTGAATGGACTCCAGTTGTTGGCAGCTTTTGGGAGAACTATAAAAAGCTACAGGCATTAGAATAATGGCCCAGCCGTCTGTGTAACCATTTTGTTTGCACAATGACCAAATTGTCCAGAAGGATGCTAGGCATGTGTCGTAATAGCAGTGGCTGTCAAGCTCCAACCAAAAAAAAAAAAAAAATCAAATCAAGGAAAAAAAGAAACAGAAGCTACATAAAAGTGGTTCCATGACTTTTGCACTATATTCCATGGCTCCAGAAGCCATGCAATAGATTTATTCGAGAAATAGATCAAATACATTACCCATAGCTCTCAAATCCCATTCACTGATGCCATTGGTCCTCACACCTATCAATTGCGACATGCCAGGTTTGAATGGGTGCAGAGAGGATACGGGTGATGGGTGCACTCACCTTCATGTTGTTCTTTAACTTTTATATGTTTTTTTAAATAAGAATGACCTTTTTTTTCTTCTTCTGCAGAACACAAAATATGTTTTGATTAATGTTAACTCCTTTGGTCTGTATAGTGAAAGTCAAAGTCAATGAGGGTCCAAAACAATATTGGTCCCTACTATATGCACAAAAACAACAACACTGAGAATAAAACTAAAATATCTTTTTCTTTGTTACGCAGGGAAAAAAAGTAGTTCAGATCTAAAAATTATATTAATCATTCAAGCAGGGAAACCTGAAAAGCTTGGACTGTGGACATACACTTTAAAAAAATATTGTTGGTTTAACTTAAAAAAGTAAGTAACCTGGTTGCCTTAAAATTTTATGTTGATTGAACTGGAAAAAGTGAGTTAATACAATGAAGGAGATTGATTTAATCATCAGAAACTCAAAATAATAAGTTATCTGAACTAAATAAATTATTTAAGTTGATTTGCCAAAAGAAAAAATGTTGTGATAACAAATCTTGAACATATTTTTTTACAGTGTACAAACCGTAAACAAATCAACACTTGCTTACCATTTTCACACCAGTCTCCCTCACCACAGGCAGATTTGATCAAATTCATCACAGATATGATGAAGATGAGAAGAAACTTCATCACTTCAGTTTTCCCTTCTGCACTGTAAAAAAATCTTTTCATGATTAGTAATCACAACATTTTTTCTTTTGTCAAATCAACTTAAATCATTTATTTAGTTCAGATAACATATCATTCTGAGTTTCTGATGATTAAATCAATCTCCTTCATTGTATTAACTCACCTTTTCCAGTTCAATGAACTTAAAATTTAAAGGCAACCAGGTAACTTAATTTTTTAAGTTAAACCAACAATCTTTTTCTTACAGTATGGTGAGTGATCTCTCTCTGTCTGCAGTTTTTATGGCCAAAAAGATCACCCTGAACTTGTCTGACATATACTTAATCACTTAATGGCAGCTCGACATTGGCGACGACCAACCGTTCACTCGGTGTGTCCCGCCCTTTCGTTTGTTCCCAACACTATATGCCTCAAACTGTTCTTTTTAATTGTTCTTTTCCACACAGAACTATAGCAGAGCACAAGTTACTGGTAGACTTTGACACATCAAGTTAATTGCTGTTTGGATCGCCTCAGAAACTCTTGGGTCATCATTTCTAGACCAGAGTTTAGGAGGTGTGAAGCCAGCAGCCGCGCTAAAGGGATCTCGTCACGTATCGAATTGCCAACAAATGTAAAACTCAACGGCTCAACCCAAGCCCGCATTTCTGTGGTGTCTCAGTGGCTGGTCCCAGTCATATATGGAAGCCTATTTCCAATGTCACGGCCGGCGTAATTCGTTCACCACGTGCACATGTCCATCAGTGTAATCGGCCCCTGTGGAGCGGTGAGGGGGAGTTCGCGCGGGGCCGCCGCTGTGGCGCAGGCATGCCGCTTGGCCCCGGGTGCCGTGGAATAGGATCAGCAGTGCAGACATTGTTTCATAGCAATGGAGCCCGAACGTTGTAATTATATCTCTGCTACAAATCACCCATGGAATACTGTGGCTTTGTGCAGCTCTGAATGCTGTATTAAGGGCATGAAGTTCTCCTACAGTATGTTTGTTTTACTTTACTGAATTCGCTGCAAATGGTTTTAGAGGTGCTCCGTGACGCAATCTTGATAATGTGAAGTGTTACTGAAGGCTGTTTATTTGTTAATGGCTGGTTTGTTAGGAGACTCTGTGTGTGGTCAACTGTGATGATACGATAATGATATGACGAAAGTTCGCTCCCGTTTTCAGTTGTGTTTGACTTGAAAAATGAGTTGTTGTTGAAGCCGTAACGGCTAATCCACAGTCCTAAGTGCCAAGGCAATATTTTTTTGTGATATCAGGGCCAATTTATTCATTTAAAAAATGTATGGTCATAAGTCATACAGACAATACCTTAAATACACATATTCCATGATTAGCAAGTTTTTAATTTCTAAAAACATATATTAAGTATAAAATGTGAGGATATCATATTGAAGAAATAATCTGATTAATAGTTAATTTCTTAAAATTCACATAATTTAATTAGATTTTTATAAAAAGAAAAAAATATATATTTGGAGCAACATTTCCCAAATCAAAGTCATGTGGTGCAACCAATATAATATACACATACTTTCTCAAAAACAATGGTTTTTTTTATTAATTCGTAATGGTGTTTTGAATTTTTTTTAAACTATATTAAAAAATAAAGGGAAAATATGATTTTTTTTACCTGATAGTTACACCCCATGACATTTTGAGAGTCATTAAATTCAAACTTTTCTTGAAAATGGAATAAAAGTAAAAGAAAGAAAAAAACGTTTTTAAACAACTATAAACACAAAATGAGTACGTTTCTAAGAATGTGTCAGATACATTTTAAAGTTGTCTTTTGTTGTATTACAGCATCGTTGCCTTTGTTATAAAACCTGCCTTTTTGGAAATCTCTGCTTCTGCTTATAATTTTTCTCATTTCTTTTTGTTCCACCATGTACCATTTCCAGGTCAAAGTGATGATGCGTATCTGTCCATCTCTGGGGGTTGTGGATTCATCGGAGTCCATGTCCTTTCTGAAGGTGGACACTCGTAAGAAACAACTGACCCTCTACGATCCTTCAGTCAACACACAGCCCACCTCAGTGCATAGACGCGCAGTGCTGCCCGCCCCAAAGATGTTTGCCTTCGATGCTGTTTTTTCCCAAGATGCCTCTCAAGTAAGAGCTACTGTGAAGATGCTATCATTTAGTCTGCATTTCCCTTTGAGTTTTGAAGTGAAAACATTTTGTTAGTGTCAAGAAGATATTTGAGAAGCACACAGCCACACACACACACACATTCTTTTCAGGGCATGGGGCTTAATGCAAAAAGGCCTGTTTTGAAACACCACCGTTCTTCAAAGTATGAGTCCAACAGCTGTTTCTTTAAGTATAGAAAATAGTTTGAATTCCAGACTTGCATATCTAGCAGCTCATTCACAGTTCATTATCTGTTCTCCAAAGCTGCAATGGCATCCATCTTAAGATAAGTGGCTAACAAATGGACACAAATAGGGAAGAGAAACTTCAGGAGACACACAAACTTGAAGATGATTAAGTGTGAACAATTTAGATTTGACATAGAGCTACTTCAAGACTAATAAGGTTGTCATCTTGAAGTACTTATGTGAAGAGCCTAGTCAGAACTCGCAATTGTGAGAAAAAAAGTTAGAATTGTGAGATAAAAAGTCACACTTCTTTTTTTTTCACACGTCTTTTTTTCTCACCACTTTATATCACGCAATTCTGACTTTTTATCTCGCAATTCTGACTTTATATCACACAATTCTGACATTATATCATGCATTTCTGACTTTATATCTCCCAATTCTGACTTTATATAACACAATTCTGACTTTATATCTCGCATTTCTGAGTTTATATCTCGCAATTCTGACTTTATATCTCGCAATTCTGACTTTTTATCTCGCAATTCTGACTTTATATCTCGCAATTCTGACTTTATATCACGCAATTCTGACTTTATATCTCGCAATTCTGACTTTATATCTCGCAATTCTGACTTTATATCTCGCATTTCTGAGTTTATATCTCGCAATTCTGACTTTATATCACGCAATTCTGACTTTATATCTCGCAATTCTGACTTTATATCTCGCAATTCTGACTTTATATCTCGCAATTCTGACTTTATATCTCGCAATTCTGACTTTTTATCTCGCAATTCTGACTTTATATCTCGCAATTCTGACTTTATATCACGCAATTCTGACTTTATATCTCGCAATTCTGACTTTATATCTCGCAATTCTGACTTTATATCTCGCATTTCTGAGTTTATATCTCGCAATTCTGACTTTATATCACGCAATTCTGACTTTATATCTCGCAATTCTGACTTTATATCTCGCATTTCTGACTTTATATCTCCCAATTCTGACTTTATATAACACAATTCTGACTTTATATCTCGCATTTCTGAGTTTATATCTCGCAATTCTGACTTTATATCTCGCAATTCTGACTTTTTATCTCGCAATTCTGACTTTATATCTCGCAATTCTGACTTTATATCACGCAATTCTGACTTTATATCTCGCAATTCTGACTTTATATCTCGCAATTCTGACTTTATATCTCGCATTTCTGAGTTTATATCTCGCAATTCTGACTTTATATCACGCAATTCTGACTTTATATCTCGCAATTCTGACTTTATATCTCGCAATTCTGACTTTATATCTCGCAATTCTGACTTTATATCTCGCAATTCTGACTTTTTATCTCGCAATTCTGACTTTATATCTCGCAATTCTGACTTTATATCACGCAATTCTGACTTTATATCTCGCAATTCTGACTTTATATCTCGCAATTCTGACTTTATATCTCGCATTTCTGAGTTTATATCTCGCAATTCTGACTTTATATCACGCAATTCTGACTTTATATCTCGCAATTCTGACTTTATATCACGCAATTCTGACTTTATATCTCGCAATTCTGACTTTATATCTCGCAATTCTGACTTTATATCTCGCAATTCTGACTTTATATCTCGCAATTCTGACTTTTTATCTCGCAATTCTGACTTTATATCTCGCAATTCTGACTTCATATCACGCAATTCTGACTTTATATCTCGCAATTCTGACTTTATATCTCGCAATTCTGACTTTATATCACGCAATTCTGACTTTATATCTCGCAATTCTGACTTTATATCACGCAATTCTGACTTTATATCTCGCAATTCTGACTTTATATCTCGCATTTCTGAGTTTATATCTCGCAATTCTGACTTTATATCTCGCAATTCTGACTTTATATCACGCAATTCTGACTTTATATCTCGCAATTCTGACTTTATATCTCGCATTTCTGAGTTTATATCTCGCAATTCTGACTTCATATCACGCAATTCTGACTTTATATCTCGCATTTCTGAGTTTATATCTCGCAATTCTGACTTTATATCACGCAATTCTGACTTTTTATCTCGCAATTCTGACTTTATATCTCGCAATTCTGACTTCATATCACGCAATTCTGACTTTATATCTCGCAATTCTGACTTTATATCTCGCAATTCTGACTTTATATCACGCAATTCTGACTTTATATCTCGCAATTCTGACTTTATATCACGCAATTCTGACTTTATATCTCGCAATTCTGACTTTATATCTCGCATTTCTGAGTTTATATCTCGCAATTCTGACTTTATATCTCGCAATTCTGACTTTATATCACGCAATTCTGACTTTATATCTCGCAATTCTGACTTTATATCTCGCATTTCTGAGTTTATATCTCGCAATTCTGACTTCATATCACGCAATTCTGACTTTATATCTCGCATTTCTGAGTTTATATCTCGCAATTCTGACTTTATATCACGCAATTCTGACTTTATATCTCGCAATTCTGACTTTATATCACGCAATTCTGACTTTATATCTCGCAATTCTGACTTTATATCTCGCAATTCTGACTTTATATCACGCAATTCTGACTTTATATCTCGCAATTCTGACTTTATATCACGCAATTCTGACTTTATATCTCGCAATTCTGACTTTATATCTCGCAATTCTGACTTTATATCACGCATTTCTGAGTTTATATCTCGCAATTCTGACTTTATATCACACAATTCTGACATTATATCATGCATTTCTGACTTTATATCTCCAATTCTGACTTTATATAACACAATTCTGACTTTATATCTCGCATTTCTGAGTTTATATCTCGCAATTCTGACTTTATATCTCGCAATTCTGACTTTTTATCTCGCAATTCTGACTTTATATCTCGCAATTCTGACTTTATATCACGCAATTCTGACTTTATATCTCGCAATTCTGACTTTATATCTCGCAATTCTGACTTTATATCTCGCATTTCTGAGTTTATATCTCGCAATTCTGACTTTATATCACGCAATTCTGACTTTATATCTCGCAATTCTGACTTTATATCTCGCAATTCTGACTTTATATCTCGCAATTCTGACTTTATATCTCGCAATTCTGACTTTTTATCTCGCAATTCTGACTTTATATCTCGCAATTCTGACTTTATATCACGCAATTCTGACTTTATATCTCGCAATTCTGACTTTATATCTCGCAATTCTGACTTTATATCTCGCATTTCTGAGTTTATATCTCGCAATTCTGACTTTATATCACGCAATTCTGACTTTATATCTCGCAATTCTGACTTTATATCACGCAATTCTGACTTTATATCTCGCAATTCTGACTTTATATCTCGCAATTCTGACTTTATATCTCGCAATTCTGACTTTATATCTCGCAATTCTGACTTTTTATCTCGCAATTCTGACTTTATATCTCGCAATTCTGACTTCATATCACGCAATTCTGACTTTATATCTCGCAATTCTGACTTTATATCTCGCAATTCTGACTTTATATCACGCAATTCTGACTTTATATCTCGCAATTCTGACTTTATATCACGCAATTCTGACTTTATATCTCGCAATTCTGACTTTATATCTCGCATTTCTGAGTTTATATCTCGCAATTCTGACTTTATATCTCGCAATTCTGACTTTATATCACGCAATTCTGACTTTATATCTCGCAATTCTGACTTTATATCTCGCATTTCTGAGTTTATATCTCGCAATTCTGACTTCATATCACGCAATTCTGACTTTATATCTCGCATTTCTGAGTTTATATCTCGCAATTCTGACTTTATATCACGCAATTCTGACTTTTTATCTCGCAATTCTGACTTTATATCTCGCAATTCTGACTTCATATCACGCAATTCTGACTTTATATCTCGCAATTCTGACTTTATATCTCGCAATTCTGACTTTATATCACGCAATTCTGACTTTATATCTCGCAATTCTGACTTTATATCACGCAATTCTGACTTTATATCTCGCAATTCTGACTTTATATCTCGCATTTCTGAGTTTATATCTCGCAATTCTGACTTTATATCTCGCAATTCTGACTTTATATCACGCAATTCTGACTTTATATCTCGCAATTCTGACTTTATATCTCGCATTTCTGAGTTTATATCTCGCAATTCTGACTTCATATCACGCAATTCTGACTTTATATCTCGCATTTCTGAGTTTATATCTCGCAATTCTGACTTTATATCACGCAATTCTGACTTTATATCTCGCAATTCTGACTTTATATCACGCAATTCTGACTTTATATCTCGCAATTCTGACTTTATATCTCGCAATTCTGACTTTATATCACGCAATTCTGACTTTATATCTCGCAATTCTGACTTTATATCACGCAATTCTGACTTTATATCTCGCAATTCTGACTTTATATCTCGCAATTCTGACTTTATATCACGCATTTCTGAGTTTATATCTCGCAATTCTGACTTTATATCACGCAATTCTGACTTTATATCTCGCAATTCTGACTTTATATCTCGCAATTCCGACTTTATATCTCGCAATTCGGACTTTTTATCTCGCAATTCTGACTTTATATCTCGCAATTCTGACTTTATATCACGCAATTCTGACTTTATATCTCGCAATTCTGACTTTATATCACGCAATTCTGACTTTATATCTCGCAATTCTGACTTTATATCTCGCAATTCTGACTTTATATCTCGCATTTCTGAGTTTATATCTCGCAATTCTGACTTTATATCACGCAATTCTGACTTTATATCTCGCAATTCTGACTTTATATCACGCAATTCTGACTTTATATCTCGCAATTCTGACTTTATATCTCGCATTTCTGAGTTTATATCTCGCAATTCTGACTTTATATCTCACAATTCTGACTTTATATCACGCAATTCTGAATATATCTCACAATTCTGACTTTATATCTCGCAATTGCAACTTTATTTCTCACAATTCTGACTTCATATCTCGCAATTGTGAGATAAAAAGTCGCAATTATTTATTTATTTATTTATTTATTTTTTTTAGTGGTGGAAATAAGCTTCCATACAGTACCAGCCCAGTGAAGTAGTGTAACTGTAAATCCTTCAAGTCTAACGTGTGTGGTTTAGTGAGAGCATGGGGACATATTTCTTAGCAAAGCACTGAGCTGTTGTTCTGTCTTTTGTGAGAATGCGTGTATGTGTGTGTGTTATGATGTATGGGAGGAAATTGCTGCAGTCCCAAATTGTCTCCAGGGACTTGGGCTAGTGGAACAGATTGTAGCGTTATGGCCACACAGTGCAGCCAGTGTAAAGCCCCACATGTCTGATGAATCTGTGATGAGGAGCTGCCTCGTTGATGCTTTCTGTGGTTTTCTTTTGCTAGTGAAAAAAATCAATGATCTCCGGATCAAAGAAAAGATTAGGTACTTTTCTTCTCTGCCAAAAAAAGGTTTGGTTACATTTCACAGCTCAACTGAATGTTAAAAACCAATCTAAGACTAAGATGTGCACTGTTGATTAAATAAACAGTTCTTAAGACACCGTCTTAACATAGTGGCTAAGTTTATGCAACTGATCCCCAGGTCTAAAATTAATACTGACCAAGCAAATTAACTTTGGTGAGTAAATAAAACCAGTTGGCTGTTATTGAAAACTGCAGTATCGTACATGTGATCTAGCATGTCTACTTGGTTTTTATCTATACCACCACAAAATGTTGGACCCTGTTGACTTTATTCATTGCTGACTTGCTAAATAATGATGCCATGGGTTAACTGATCAGAATACCAGATCTGAGTGTTAAGTGTTAAACTGTTTCCCACAGGCTGAAGTTTGCTCAGGGACTGTGGCTGAAGTTATTCAATCAGTGGTCAACGGAGCTGATGGGTGTATTTTCTGCTTCGGTCATGTCAAAGTCGGTAAGTTGGAATTTAACTGAATATGACAGACACTGATCTTGCACTTCACAGATTGCAAGACACTTAGGGCTAGATTCACCAAAAAGGCAAATTAGCGTGAGAACGTAATTCCAAAAAAGCGCAGATGGGAGTGGAAAGTTCTGTGTGTGATGGTGACAACGCACAAATTAAAGAACACAGACACAGCCGATTCATTTCCATAATGACCAGCGCAATCTATCAAGAGCAGAGCAAATTAGCAATTATGTTTTTTTTTTTTTATGGGGTGGTAAATAATGCCGCAAATAGCAGTAAATTGACGAGCACAAACCTTAGTAAATCACCTGGCATGATTCATTTAAATATTCTCCTCCCAAAAAAACTCACAAATGCGAAAGCAATATGGTCAGCCGCAAAAATAACTGTCCACACCTTTTCAGCACTAGTTTTTCACGCCATGTCTTTAGTCAATCCTGAAAGTAGCCAAAAGAGGGTTTGTGCTGGAGCAAGCTGTTTGTAAATGGCCCTTATATCTAATATTAAGGCTGAAGAAAAGTTTTTCTTTTCAGAAATGGCAAGTGTGGGGCATTCAAGTGTGTGTGTGTGTGTTTGTATGAGAGCCTCGAGGCCAGAGAGTGTAATTAAAAGCTGACTAATCGACCCTCACAGTAGACTGTACTATTGCCAATTATGCTTGTAAGACATTTCAATGGCTTCCTCATTATTTACTACATGTGGTCTCAGCGCTTAAGCATTATTTATGACTCTTTTAAAGCAGGACTGTCCATATGGAACAGTATTCATCTCTATTTTTTTTTTTTTTATGTATATAAATTATGTTCTAAACCATGTGTGTTTTTTTAACTTCTATAATGTGACATGTACTGTATACTATTTAAAAATTTTAAAAATTGATATAGTTTTTATACAGAATATTTAAAGAGAGGCAATGCTTTGCATTTTTGTTATACTCTCGTCACATCCTGATAGCAATCAATAATAGAAGTGTGATACATTTTTTTTTTTTATAAAAATGTAAAAAATGTACATCTTCTGTGGAAGTCCAGGACCAACAAATGTTCGCCCAAATAATTGCATTCGATCCTAATGCAATGATAAGATGTCAGCCATCAAGTGCCACCATTGTGATGAAAGAAAAACAAACAGTATCTTTTAAAGAATGAAATTACACTCCAAACCAGATGCAATTAAGTAAGATTTGGTAATTTATTGACACTTGATGCAAAAATTGCCCTGCAGTCACAGCCAATCATGTTTGATGACTATGTGGAGCTTGATTTTGGACCAATTAGATTTTTGGGTTGGTCCAACTAGCATGACGCAGGAGAATAGAAACCAAGTTAACAAAACGCAGTGTTATCTATCACATTTGCAATTGATGTAAGATTTGTTGAGGCCAGGTTTGATAAAATAAAGTGTCTGTATAAGTACAGCAAAAACGAATTGACGCATTTACTATTTCCGACTCATCAGATTCTGTTCAAGTACTAATAATGTGTGATGAAATCAGTAGTAGAAATACCTGTACTTGAAACAGCTCATTGAGTGCTCATCATCATCTTGGCAGAATCAACAGCTTTCTCTCTCTCTCTCTCTCTCACCAGGCAAGACATACACCATGATTGGCACAGACAGCTCCATGCAGGGCCTTGGCATTGCGCCCTGTGCCATCTCCTGGCTGTTCAAGCTCATCAACGAGCGCAAGGAGAAGACGGGCACGCGATTCTCTGTAAGGGTGTCAGCCGTTGAAATCTACGGCAAGGACGAGAGCCTGCAGGACCTGCTTTCTGATGTCCCCACGGGCAGTCTGCAGGACGGCCAGTCGCCTGGGGTCTACCTGCGTGAGGACCCCATCTGTGGCACACAGGTCAGTAACTTGATGTCAACTGTACAGTAGCTGCTTGTTCCTGATGAAGCCCTCCCAGTCTTGCTTGTTATCTATTAAGTGAAAATAAACTGCTGTTGCCAATTTGTTGCTGATTTTCAGTGATTGAAGGTAACATGTGGAGGGCAGGGAGGGAAATGGCAATTATACCGCCAATATATATACACAATACAAATAAATGAAAGCAAATGTGTGGAGACAAAAACAACAACACAAAATAAAATAAATAAAAAAACAGCAAAAATTGTTGCATATCCATTGACAAGGCTGTAAGTACAGTTTGGAAATGACAAAATTGACATGGTTTTTGGCAGTTATTATTATACAAATGTATTATACATTTTATATTAATGTTTTTTGGTCAATTTTGTACATTTTAGTTTTTTGGTTTTGTTATATATTTTAATATTTGAAGTCTTTGTATTGTCATGTTTTAATTTTTATTATACTATAAAATTGTATTTGCAGAATCTCTTTTTCTTTCTTTCTGTCTAAATAGATATTTTTTATGCATTCTTGCTAATAAGTTTTTTAATCTGTAAAAAAAAAAAGCAGTAAGCAGCTTACTGGCACCATTCTTTTGAACAGTATATTTTGTGCTGTAAAAAAACATACAATAAAAAATAAATAATTAAAATAATATAAATAACATTTATAAAATATATTTTATATTTATTATATTATAATAGAATATGTTATAATTATCTAACATTTTACAATATAAAAATATGTTTTATTTATATATATATATATATATATATATATGTGTGTGTGTGTATGTATTTTATTTCACAGTATAAAAATGATAAAAACAAAATATATACAACATGCTGGTTTCAGGTCAGTAAGTATTTTGTTTTCAAGTAAATGAATAATTTTATTCAGTATGCAATTAAATACATATATTTTATAGATTTATCTTACGAGACAGTAGAGAGCATTTTTGGAGAGAGAGAGAGTGGGGAATGAGATCATTGTATCATTTTGTTCTGTCAGGTGAGTAGTTTTCATAGGTTTTCACTGCACCTCACTTATTACAGAATATTCTTAGCTGATTTTAATCACAAAATCTCAAATTAAAGTCCAGGTGTTGTGGTGGTGTTTTTTACTCAGGATCCATCTGGGTGAGCTGCTGCTCTGTTTCTCCCTCCCCCTCTTACCTTCTACTGGAAGGGGGTAAATATCAGGAGGGGGTACTAGGTAGTGTTTGGGGGTAGGTAAGAGGGTAGTTAAAAGCCCTGCCAGGTGTTGGCATCAGATGTTGTTTTTTGGGGGTCCATATGAAGCAGCACATCAAAGACTGCCTAGAGGCCTATGAAGTTCAAATCTGGGGAGTGGGCCTATCCGCCCATCACTTCTCCCAGCATTCTCTTCTCTTTTTAGTTTTAGAGTGGCTCGTTGGCCACAGGCGGTTGGCGAGTACTGCTGGAAAGTGCCCGCTATTTTTCTAAAGGAGCCTGCTTTTGATGGCCGCTTTTTGAAATATACGACTGATTAAATCAGTGTTTTGTCACATTGAAGATATTTAAGCATAGCAGGAAAATCAAGGAAGAAAGTCCAGTTGTCCAGAATTCAGCCTAATTGCTTGTTTTCTTGAAGAAGACCATAAAAGTGCCCAACACATGTTTCATCTTATTTTTTCCATCAGTCTTTCCGCAGGATCAGAGATGCTGCCCTCTGCCCTCTTTATCCAGCACTCTCTCTCATCAGTAATCCTACTCCCTCTATGCGTGTGTTAGTTTCCCTGATTGCCCCAGAGACTCTATAGACCATTTCACAAGATGTAAACAACACTGGTCCAGAAGCACTTCCTGTTTCAGTTTGTAACTGTTTTCTTTATTTCACATGTAAAGAAAACATCTTAAAGAACTTTTTGATTCAGTTTTAAATGTTCTGTTGGTTGTATTTTATCTCAGCTTTTATGTAGTGTTAAAAATCTGAAACAGGAAGTGCTTCTGGACCAGTGTTGTTTACATCTTGTGAAATGGTCTATTTAATTGCATAGAAGTGGGTAGAGAGGCTCAGTTATCTCCTTCGTCATCTCCAACTAGGGATGAGCTTTGCTTATGACAACAGACTGAAAAATAGTAAAGTTTGAAATTTACACTTTAGATTAAATCTGACCTTTTAAAAATGACTTCAATGGTTTATGTAGTCACAATAATACCTGTTAAGGCCCTTGTACACTGAGTCTGAAATTTTCGTTTGCGTTTTTTTTTTTTTGTATTCGTGATTTGGTGGCTCTGAATTGTCAAAACACCATTCAAACTGCTTGCTACGGATGCGAAAAACACAGAAAATCGAACATGATTATTTTTTTTTTTATGGTGGACGAAAGTTTCGGAGGCAGTGTGCAAGCGTGATTGACATAACGTGAGGTTGTATTTATTTTTTAATGTGCAAAAATTTCGGAAGTGAATTTCCGTAATTTTTTGTAAAAAAAAAAAATGCTGTAAATTACTGTAATATTCCATTGTATATATTCCATATGATATGGAATATTCAAATTGCTGGCAATATCAATATTCCATATGATAATTCATAGATTTTATATACAAAAGCATAACTTTTAACAGTATTTTACTGTTAAAATGTCTGGTAATTTAGGCCCTGTTTACACCTGGTGTTAAGATGCGTTTTGGGCGATCGGATCACAATTAGACGAGGCAGACACATTCTCGTTTACACCTGGTGTTTTAATTCATCTCTATTGTCCATTTTCAACCACTTCTGTCCTGATGTCTTTGAGGGGAGGATGATCTATTAGCGGGTAAATGCAGTGTTGTAGTCGAGACCACCTCACTCGAGTCCGAGTCGACACCGAGACCAGAGAGAGTCGAGTCCGAGTCAAGACCGAGTCCACAGAGAGTCGAGTCCGAGACCAGAGACGGTCGAGTCCGAGTCGAGACCGAGACCAGTGAGGGTTGATTACCTAATTTACTTTTATTTACTTAGAGAAATCCTTTTTTTTTTTTTTTACTGAATTTACTTAGAGTTTAATAAATCAGTTTAGGGTAAAAAGGCCACATAGTAGGTGGTGTTAAAAGTAATTTTATTACAATTTGTCATGCGCAGTTGCGCACTAGAAAATCACCAATCACTGGGCGTGTCAATTAATTTAAAGAAATATTTTATTAACATACATTAATAATCATGAAAAATATTTTGAATTGAACTCGAGTGGACTCGGGAATAATTCCGAGTCCTAAAAAAAAAAATGTTCGAGTACGAGTCAATTCCGAGTCCAAATGGACACGAGTCCATGACAAGACCAAGACCATTAAAATATGGTCTCGAGACCGAGTCCGAGACGAGTCCGTGTCTCGAGTACTACAACAGTGGGTAAATGTATGGGTTTTCTTCCAGATCTTTCTAACTAATGGACAAAATAAGCTCATGCAATTTACATATAGACGCACCAAAGACAACTTAAAACCACAGAGAGCAGCAGCTTTCATTTCTGCTCTGACAGCCGCAAGATCACGCCGAACACTGCGAGTGTGTGTTAGAAATCAGGAATGGTGAGAGAACATTGTGCTTGGTACGTTTTTCGTCTTCAAACCAGACTTGGTGTCTACAACTGACAAAATTGAATTCCCGCCTAGATGTTTACACGGGAGAGCAGGTGGTCTTTTGTGGCTGTTCGAACGCAATCGACCGCATGAATGCGTTCATGGAAGTTCAACTACATCTGGAAGTGTTCTAAAGTGGACAGAATAAATCCCACACTTACTCACACATAGACTTCAACATCCTTTTCATCTTTCAGCTCCAGAACCAGAGCGAGTTAAGGGCTCCCACTGCGGAGAAGGCCGCCCTGTTTCTTGACGCCGCCATCGCAGCACGGAGCACTAACCGGCCGGATGCGGATGAGGAAGACCGGCGCAACTCGCACATGCTGTTCACCTTACACATCTATCAGTACCGCATGGAGAAGAGCGGCAAGGGTGGAAGTAAGTCTTGTGTGAAACGATACTGCTACTTTTGAAGCCTGCTCTAAATCGATCATACTCAGTCTAGTCTAATTTCTTCTCCTCCTCCTCATTTACCCAGTGAAAGGAAAAAATGCATCTCAAGCTTATTAATGTAATAGCTGTGATATTACAGGCCAAATCAGAGAGTTACCAGAATCCCTTCAATTTTCCTCTCGCTCCATCGTAGTAGGAGGGAAATCAATCATGTCTGCTTTGACCACTTCATTAAACTTTAATGGGAATTTTAACAGAGAGTAATAATTCATGAGCAGCTAACAGCTCTAATCATAGTCGAGGTACCTGTCACTACGCCGTCGCGGTGCTAATTTGCATAGGTAAATACAGTGTTGGTCACTGCCTTCAAAGCATCTTTGAATGGCTTCATCAAGTCTTCTGATTTTAAAATCGCAAAGGGTAGACAAAAACGGCTAGGAATGGAGTAAATTCTCGCTATTCTCAAACGTAATAATATAGTGTTTCAAGGTCTAACATTTCTCTGTAATAACAGTGTGTTGTCATTTTACCCTTTGTCATTGTGTATTCTGTTTGTGTGTTCTGCCATTGTGTATGAACAAGTATGTTATTCTTACTTAGAGGATATAATCATCGGAACAATTCCTCATCTGTAAAGCACCCCGATGTGCATGCATTTAACCTGTTGTTACTCCAAGTATATATCAACTGTCTGATATATTCATAAGGCAAATAATGAGTAGACAGCACATCACAGGCTCATATGTGTATTTCTGTCTCATGTTATGCATAGTTTGAATATAGGTGTATATCTAGGCCAGGTTGATCTGTCTTTGAATCATAGTGGGCTCCGCAACTCACTCATGAATAAATCACACACAGTCTCGTCAGCCGCAGGTCTTCTCTGGGGGTGTTTATTAATATGTCTGTGCATTTGCCACTCCTCACTCTGCCTGACACAACCCCAATGTCATCGGCGTGGTATAACCACACTGGCAGCATTTCAAACTGTCAGGGATATCGGTAATGAGTGGGGTTGACAGTGTATTTTTATCTTCCATTACAAGGATGACTAAGCTGGTATTTTTACCAAATGAGATATTACCTCTCATTTCTCTCTCTTTTCCCTCCAGTGTCTGGTGGTAGGAGCAGATTGCATCTGATTGACTTGGGAAGCTGCGAGAAGGTGCTTTGTAAGAGTAGGGACGCAGGAGGAGGTCTGTGTCTGTCTCTCACTGCTTTGGGAAATGTCATACTGGCTTTGGCCAACGGAGCCAAACACGTTCCATACAGGTAAGAAAACGTAAATAAGATATTGAAATGGGTCATGTTGCTTAAAATGTGTAGATATGGTGCTAGCATCTTTAGTATAATTTGTTTTTTCTACTAGTAATCAATATTGACAATATTGACAATCTTCCAAGTGGGATATTGCATAAAATATAAGATATTTTTATAATGTCAAATACATCACTTATGCAGGTATGGCCATTAGCAGAAGGTTCATGATGATTCTGAGTATGTGCTTGGATCTGTCACGTTTAAATATAGTATGTAATGTTGAAGCATTTGAGCACATAATGAAAGATGCCAGCAACAAGCTTGAACCTGTGATCTTTGTGTTGACAGGTTTATTGTCTGACTGATGCACTGCTGTTTATCTGTATTTTGTTGAGATCATAGATGATGTGCTCATAGATCAGGCATCTCTTTTTGAAATAAAAACTGATGCCTTTTCAGGATCACATGTACCTTATTTCTCGCCTTTCTAAAACCTATGCACATTTGGAAGAATTGCAATATAGACATTTTTGTAGCTTTTTGATTAATATCATTGGCAGAAGAGTTTAGTGAACCTTTCGATGGCTCTGCACTTTTAGAGAACATTTAACGGCCAGGCTCCTTCAGTATTTGAGTAAACGGCTCACTTTCTGCTGACAATCTATCAACCTGTGTTTATGCTGACAATGAAAATGTGTTTTTCTAGGGATAGCAAGCTCACAATGTTACTGCGAGATTCCTTGGGGAACATCAACTGTAGGACAACCATGATTGCTCACATCTCTGACTCCCCTGCCAATTATGCTGAGTCTCTTACCACCATTCAGCTGGCCTCCCGAATCCATCGTATGAGGAAAAAGAAATCCAAGGTAACTTTTTAGAACTACAATTCAAGAAATGACTAGAATCAAATTTTATATATGTTTTATACAAACAAAATCTTTTTAGAGATAAAAAATATATAAATATGTTTAGTGAATATTAACAGCAACAATGATTAAGATTATAATTGAGTGAATAGAAAAAGTCACATGATGTATTGACCTTGAGGTAGTCCTGCAACAGCTAAATGGTTTTGAAAACTGTTTCCTTTATAATTAAGCAGTCATATTATTGTCTTGGGATTTGTATAGCACTTGCCCTGGCACAGTCAATGCATCAGCTGCTTATTATTTTTTTAATGTTTTATTTTGGTGTTGTCTTTGTCAAGTATGCATCAAGTTCTTCTGGAGGGGAGAGTTCCTGTGATGAGGGAAGGATCCGTCGACCACCACATTTGCGGCCCTTCCATCCCCGGACTGTGGCCCTTGACCCAGATCTACCATCATTCCTCAGTGATCCTGACTATTCTTCAAGCAGCGAGCAATCATGCGACACTGTAATTTATGTTGGCCCTGGTGGTGCTTCCATCTCAGATCGAGAGCTTAGTGACAATGAAGGACCCCCTGCCTTTGTTCCCATCATCCCGTCTCTTAACCGTAAGCAACGAGGGAAAGAAGGGCCAGTCGACCATGATCACTTCAAATGTAACACCTTTGCTGAGCTCCAGGAGCGATTAGAATGTATTGATGGTAGTGAGGAACCTACAGCCTTTGTTGGAGAATCTGGAGAAAATTCTGAAAGCCCTAAAATGGACCGTAGTGCAACCAAGTTGAAAGAAGGCTCTAGTTGCATTTCAGTTTCTCCCAAGACTCCTACCAAAGCACTCTCATCAACACAGGACAGCATATCCCAAAAGTCAATTTATGTGGCCAATAAACTGCCCAGCAGTCCAAAACACAAATTAGAACATCCCAAATTGGAAAGTGCCCAATCATACAAAGATCTCAGAGACATGTCTGAGAGTGTGTGTAGGACAAGTGCAGATGGTGAAAAGGTGCAAATGGATACTGGATCCCTATGTTCTCCAGGAAAACCAATATTCTCCCAAAACTCAGAGCCTGTGGTTAGGGAAAAGGTTTTTTTCAATAAAAAGTTACCCAAGCCTGCTCCCCCACCGCCACAACAAAGAGACTACGGCAAGGTCAATATTGAGACTGAAGAAAAGTCTGCCACAAGGATACCACCAATTGGGATGAGCCATCAAAAGATAGGTGATTCAAATGGGAACTCACCTGTCAAAGTCCATCATCTTAATCCTAGGAGTCCTGGAGAAATGAGGTCCAATCTTAGGGAGAGGTGCATGGAGAAGGACATATTGAGGACAACTGTAACCCTCAAACAGCCAGTGGAGCTAAACGGAGAGGATGAGCTTGTATTCACTCTTGTGGAAGAGTTGTCAATTGGTAGCATTGTGGACAATGGGAGGCCCTCAAGTATTGTGAGTTTCAATAGTGATTGCTCATTACAGGCCCTTGCCTCAGGGTCACGACCAGTAAGCATCATTAGTAGCATCAATGATGAGTTTGATGCCTATACATGCAATGTTGGTACCTCTGAGGCAAACGTTAAAATGGTGGCTCCATTACAGGATAAAACATTTGCTTCGCTTGGCAGTCGTGGTTCTTCTATCACTTCATGGCTCAGTGAAGTAAGTGTCTGTACTCTGGAGAGTGAAGGTGCCCAATCAGCAGATGTATTTCTCCCTCAAGGTACTCATACTGGTCTAGATAGCAGTTTCTACCTTGATTCGTTAAGCATGTTCCAAAGCAGCCCTCAAAAGCAACCCAAGAACTCTTTGAATGACAGTGGCTGTAGCTTCTCAGATTTGGACAGCGACAGTGCTGTATCAAGCAAACTTTCACTTAGCAACTGCCCATCTTCTCCAGAGGCCCCACAACTATCTGCCAAAAATTTGCCAAAACTTGCAAAGGCAAATACCATTCATTTAGCTGATCCCAAGTCCTTTCAAGAATCTCAAGTTGTCCAGTGTAGTCCTTCCAGGAAATTAAAACCTACCTCATCTATAGCCCATAGTAGCAGTATCAGTGGAACCAGCTCCAGTAGCAACTGGAGACGTGAGCCACCTAGGCAAGACTGCATCCCAGATGCATGGCACCGAGTAGATAGCTCATTGGAGTCGTCTTTAACTTCTAATTCAAGTTCTTCGTCCAGACTGGTAAAAAATGGAATGAGTGGAATTCCTGCAAGAAAAGCAGGTACAAGCAGCAGTGTACCTCGAATGCCCAAAACACTGGGGTCAAACCCGTCCCAAAGGGTGGTGGACGGATGTGAAAAAACCAGCAACAACAGGAAAATGGAGTCCCCAAGCAGGATGCCACAGCTCAGACGAGGTGCAACAACGCTTGGAATAGTTCCGGTCATCCAGCCGTCCATTGATGTCAAGCTTGCGCAAGATATTGTTTCCTCAACAAGCAATTTGAAGTTCTCCTCATTAGGAAAAAGTGGAAAAGCAAGCAAGCAAGAGGAGAGCATGTCAAAACCTGGAAATGTATCACCACCTCCACCTCCAGTTCGCAAATCCAGTTTGGATCAAAAGAATCGAATCGTGTTTCCCTCAAGTGCCTTAAAGTCTGCTTATGATGCAGGAAAGTCTTTAGCACCAAGGGCCACAGGTTTAGAGGATGACATTGATATTTGCTCTAGGGTTGATTCAAATAGTTTAAGAGCATCTAACTTAAAGGCAGAACATAGTTTGATAAAAGCAACCTCCAGTCTCAAATCTAGAGGAGCTAGAAGTGACACAGGACAGCTTTATGGGAGCCAGATATCTCTAGACCGATGTGACAGTTTATCCTCTTTGGGGTCTAAACCTGCTCTTAGTCGAGAGAACAGTGGTGCTAGTCTCAATAGCAAGTCAAGCAAGTCTGTCAGTAGGTTTGGTTCACCTGTTTCCACCTCTTCCCCAATTGCTACCTCTCCTCCTTCTTGTATAAACCCAGTAAGCACTGTTAAAAATGGAATTGTCAAAGGCAGCCTTAATGCAAGACCAATACCTGCTAATGCCAACAAAGCTCGTACATTATCTGCAAACAACTCCAAAGCCCTTAGCTCATCCACTAAGTCTCTTGTGGCACCTGCAACAAGGAATGCCAACCTTCCACCTTCAGGAAAGACTGGGTTACCTCGAGCAACAGTAGGATGCAATGGTAAATCCACAAGAGGAACTATCATGGGTACCAAGCAAGCAATGAGGGCAGCAAACAGTCGTGTTAGTGAGTTGGCATTGGCCAACACTTCTGGGAAACATACTAGGGGCTCAGGTGATTCAGACAGTGGCAATGACAGTGGAGTGAACCTTAACGATGACAAGCATACCCCAATCCCCATTCTTCCATCTCCATATAGTAAGATTACAGCCCCAAGAAGACCTCAGCGCTACAGCAGTGGGCATGGAAGTGATAACAGTAGTGTGTTAAGTGGGGAGTTGCCTCCTGCTATGGGACGAACTGCCCTTTTCTACCATAGTGGAGGGAGCAGTGGATACGAAAGCATGATCCGTGACAGTGAAGCTACTGGTAGTGCTTCTTCAGCCCATGACTCTATGAGTGAAAGTGGGATGTCCTCCTCTGGTCGCACAAGGATCTCCAAAGCACCCAAGAAGAGGTCAAATGGTGAGTAGCACCTGTTGTTTTCTATGAAGACATCAAGCATTTGATTAAGGGTATATTGCTTTTGTACTTTTTATAAATGCCTGTCATGGATTGTCCACACAAGTCCACACAACTCTTTCTGAGAGCTAATCTGGCAATGAAACAGTGACATTTTATTACAGTTTTATTGTATAAATGCGTGCCTATTTAAGACAGTTAATTCTAACATCTGCTCATCACATGCAGTTTACTAGGTTTGAATATCCATCCAGACCACATCATCATACGCATACAAATACGTATTACTCAGTCTATTTGTAAAGCTCTGGTACACAATCTGTACTATAATTATTATTTATGTGTTTTATGTAGACACAGCTTGCTTAATTTTTTTTTACACATCCATCTTTTTAACTACTCTTTTTTTCTCCTTTAGTTTTGCAATGTTTCAGTGTCCCAATTATATTTGAACTTGAAAGATACTGTATTTACTTTGTCTATTCATGGATCAGGCCTCCAGAGGCGGCGCCTCATCCCAGCTCCCTTACCGGACACCTCTTCCCTGGGGAAGTCTGGGACCACGGGCCAGTGGGTGGACCTTCCCCCTATGACCGGACCATTGAAAGAGCCTTTTGAGATCAAAGTGTATGAAATTGATGACGTGGAGCGGCTTCAGCGTCGAAGACAGGAGAAGACAGATGAGGTTAGAATGGGATTTCTGGGTGGGTTTTTTTTTTGGAAACTGAGATCTGGTGAGATCCAGTTAAGTGCATTCATATTTAACTTAAGACTTTTCTCATGGGACTGTAAAATATGTGAGAAATGTTTCATCTTAAAGTGAAAAGTTAAAATGTAAATTGACTATGTATTATAAGTTTGCACAGTGCATAACAGAGATGTCCGATACCAATTTTGTTTTCTCGCAAGTAGCTTTCCAAAGATTGCTTTGATCTATGTTGGGTTAGATTGTCTAATCTAAAGAGCAATATGCTTTATGTATCATATTCAAACTCTATACATCGAATGAAGATTTTGGCTCTTTGCTTCTTATGAAAAGTATAATGATAATGTTAGGGTTAGTATGTATGCTAGTAGAAGATTGGTTTTGAAGATTGGCTTTTTTGGTTACATTTGAAACACTGGAGGGATGAAAAGCAGTTAACTATCAAGAATTAATTAGTTTGGGGGGTAAAACTGCTGGAGAGAAATTCTGTAGTAAAATAATCTGTTATCATTTCTATGATTAAATCAGCAGGGTGAAGTTATCAAATAGATTTAAGAAGATGATCCTCAGTTTGTCTGTCAGTGTTTTTAAGGCCAGTTGGTATTGTGCCTGGTTATTGTAGCATTATTGGATAATAGGGGTGCATGTATGTTGTTTATCTCCACTTAGTATAGATTCTTACATCCTTTCCCTCTTTGTCACAACAGTCAATTCAGGATGTTAAGAAGGTATATTCAATAATTGGCATGAATTTTGCTCGATTGTATAAGTGAACCAGACTGTAACGGGAGAGAGCTTATCCTTCCATTACAATGCCTGAAATATATCACCGTATTATTATAGTACTGTACCCTATGGTTCTTTTGTGCAGCAAATGTCATGGAAAGGTTAAAGCAATTTAAGGAATCAGCATTCTTCTTCTAATCAATCCCAACAACACAGTGAAATGCAGTCTCACTCGATAAGCCCAAAATGATTTTACCTCATTTTTACAGTCAAAAAAAGTATGTGGCATGGAACTGTAAGTGATGTCCAACGTCTGTCCACAGGGTCTGATGTATTTTAACACAAAATTGAAGGTTCTTGAGAAACGACAGCTGCAAATCAGAGATCTCACAGCCAAGCATAAAACTCTAAAAGAAGAGTTGGAGGACACCAAGTCTAGACTAATGATGGATTCCAGCAAGTGGATAGGAGAGTGTAAGTATTATAACTTTACACTAGTTTGGACACACTAACTTGTGACTGGTAGTGCTTCTAGTAGTCCTACTAGTAATACTTCCAGTCCATTTCGTGACATAACTGTGTTTTGGTTTGTTTCACAGTCGAGGTGGATGAGGATTTGGATCAGGAGTCGCAGGAGTACTTCGAGGCATTGGAGCAGGCTACGGCTGAACTGGAATACTGCGTCAACCTATGCAAGTCTCGCGTCATGATGGTGACCTGCTTCGATATTCGGGTAGCATCTGACGTGCAGGAAGGACCGCGAGAAGTTGAGGTTTAAGAACGTGACGTGGCGATCGACGGACAACGAGAAAGAGATGGAGGAAGACAGGACCCCGGATGTCTGAAAGGAAGGATAAATGATAATGAAATGTAGCAGCCGGTCCAGTGATTCCGAGAAAACTCATGGATCAATGGAATAGGTTCATAAAAAGATGGAAAACTAAATTCTGCATGAAGTAGGAACTTATTATCTTCTGGAGAAGACAAAACTGTTCTGGTTAAATGCAGTGCCTCATAACAAACACGGAATAGACTTGCTCAAAACGAAAGCCAACAAGCTTTGATGCGTTTGACGCATTTCCTTACCCAAAGGAAAAAGAAGAATCATTCTCACTTACCGAAGAGTTATTCAACCACGCCACAAAGTGCCTTTTTCATATGACTGTTTTGTACATTTGTTGTCAATCATTATTTTTTCTACCGGTGCTAGTGCTATGACCAGCATACTCAAGCCGAACCATATTTTTTTTTATTTTATTGCATTGTATAGTGTATTTATATGAACTTACGGTGTGTGAAATATCATTTTGGGTGCAAAAGGAGAGCAATAAGCTGAACTTCCATGCTTTGCCTTTGCCTCCTGAACTATCACCTCTGTCGGCATATTGTTATTAAACCTTTTGAGCCTTATGTTGTATTTGTAGTTTCTGTCGGAGTGTTTTTCTATCTCTCAAAGGTCTTTTTAAGGAACACGGTATCACTCGGCAATTGACAGTCATACTGTATGTGATGCAAGCCAGGTTTCATTTAAGTGTTGTGTTTGGTTTCCTTGGCTCCAAACCTTTCAAACTGTACCGATAATGGATGCATATGCACCTTTAACATATTTATTTCCCAGAGAATCCTATAGGCGATTTGAATTGGTACTACGTTTGCTAAGCCACGTTGAATGTACATTAAAGCATTTTAATGAACAGCACAAAAATTCCCAAGAATTGAAATCTTTAGCATTGTTATTGGTTCTTATCACATGCAAGTCATTGTCACTGTTATGCCTGCGATGGATGCGTGTTCCTAGAGAGGTGCAATCTATTAAAATGCAGATTGGCCTCTTGTTCTTGTTTACTTTAAATAGACACTTTGGCAAAGGGCATTCATTAGTGTAACCTCACATGTCTAGCTCGGCCTTTCTCGGGAGACACACTGTGTGCTGCATTAAAAGAGCTGTGGTTGCGATTAAAGAGGGGTGAGGTGACATTTGTGCGGTACAGGAAGGACTCTTTTCCATAACTTTTCAGATAACAGCATCCTAAAAGTAACCATAAAAATATCTGATGAGATTTTAAACACTGTGGCCCGCTCAATAGCATATTGGATGCTAAAATACACCTTTTTTATAGACTAAGGGAACGTTGATGCTGTCATACAAATATTGACTTACAGTCCATGTCTTCAATCGTTAATAAAGTCCGGTTCATGATGCATTGCAGTTTTTTAACTACACTGTGGATGTATATCCAAGCCTTAGACCTATGCATCCATGTAATCATGGTCTTGAACAAACAACCTCAGCAACTGCAACATTAAGCATTTAGCACAAATGGCTAGCCTTCACAAGATCGATTATCAATATTTTCAGCCCATTGTGCTGTTTAATAACTGTAAAAGACCACCTGCATTTCTCTGATGTCAAAGACGCCATTACAGAACTTTGCTGGTAAAAGTGATTCAGTGTTTTGTAGCTGCCAGAATGACTTTGCTGTTATTTGTCTATCAAAGGCCACGAATGACCTTTAGATCTCATTTGACATTTAAGAAAATCAAAACCTTTTCTTGGATTTATTTACCTTTATAAACACTCTCAGGCCCTTTTTCAAGATGCTGCGTGAGATTTGTATTTTTTTCTAGAGTTTATTCTTCATCTTTGAATTTTGTATTGATTATGCTGGCATTCACTACACTTTATGAACATGGGTTTAAAAGACACCAAACTGAAACTTTTTTTTGTGCTTTGTTTTTGAATGAAAGCTGACAATGTATGTTGCGTCATGTTTCATATCAAATCATATTTTCTAACTTTTTGTTTGTTTGTTTTGTAAAGAATTTTTCTGACCCTCTGTATAAATGTATTATATGGCAGCTTGGGATAACACTGTTTTTCTTGTGAATAAAAATGTCCTTCTTATTTGTCTTTGTCTGTCCATTTCTTTGAAACATTTCTACAGTATGCGTCTGGAATATTTACTTCATCATTAAGATAAAAAACTTGATTACAGTCTCAATTATTAGATTGTATGAAGAAAATGTTAAAGTTCTGCACCCTCGTGTCATTCCAAACCTGTAAGACTTTCGTTCATCTTCGAAACACAAATGAAGATATTTTTATATGATGAACAGACTGAATTTAGGCTTTTATTCACATACAAACCTTCATCAAATCATTTGAGTACATATAAAACACTGATATAATACTTAAAATTTGTATTACATGTTTTCAGTATTTTTCTTTAGCTATCAGGTCTGCAATCTCATCAGTCATTGGACAAAATATTTGCCACATTGCAAAGCAGCATGACTGTTGCACTCAAATGATCAGATCAACAATGCATCCCTCACAGTTTCTTTGCAAATAAAGAACGCTTGTGTTACAGTATGTTCCATATTTACATCGTTATTATTATGAAATGCCTTTCAAATATGGTAAATGTCAAGGACAAACCTATGGCTAAACTAAACTAATATATCTGCCAGAAGTTGTTTAGTTCTGTTTCGAAGTATTGAGCCTTATTAAATCATAAATAGTCTGAGTATTAATACACACAAAGCTGAAATCCAATCCAATGCCGAGCTGCTATTAAAAACACACTGGAATTCCAGTTTACAAATCAATCACCCCAGTTTCGTTGGTAAACACAGCGAGACGCAGAACTATATAAAGAATGAGGGACATGTCAGCAGTCCACAGGTGTTGGAGATAAATATATAGAAAGTGACGAGCTGTGTGTGTAGCACAGCACAGATTCACACAAAAACACATTCACATGCGTTGAACATGGTCCTCGACACCTGTTCTGATTTCCACACACGCATACTCTATTTGATTGGTCGTCGTACACACAAACGCACGTCCACGGGAGTGATTACTGCGAAAAGCACAGCTCTTGCAATTTACCACCCAAACAATCTAAGATAACAATTTGGTTGTGTATGGTTCAGGTATTTTTCAATTCAAAAGACACAAGGCCATCATTTGAAATAAAATGCAGGTCTTTAACCAAGCCGCACAGCATGCTAATGCTAGCAGGTTACATTGTGCATATGTTGACATCTCCCTGGGCCCATAATTCCCTCACCCTTTCTGTCTTCATTCCACTGAAAGCAGCAGTAATGATTTGGCTATTGTGTTGGAGCAGCTGGTCACTGTATCGCTAATCAAATCTGTAGCCTTTAGCCTAGCGAGCCCTGAGTGCTTTTTGACGGCAGGAAAGAGCGCCAAATCACTCCAATGACAATGATTAGAATGTACACACAATTTATTCAGGGACACTGATGTGTATTTTTGTGCCAGTTATTGCTGGTATAATCACCATAACTGGGAGTGACTATAGGGCTGTAGTTTCTGGGCATGTTACCACAGGATTTTTTTTGATACTTTAGAGCTTATGTCTCATCTGTTCAAAATCAATTTAAAGGGATAGTTTACTTACAATGTCATCGGGCAGGCCTACATTATTCTCAACTTCATGTCGTTCCGAATCCAAACACGAATACATCTCTCATCAAAGCTATCATTGTGCGTCAGATAGTTTGGAAGTTGAATGAACTTGTCATGATTGATTGAAATATTTGTGTTAAAGGGATAGTTCACCCAACAATGAACATTTTGTCATCATTCACCCATGAGTTTCTTTCTTCTGTTGAACACAAAGATATTTTGAAGAATGTTGGTAAGCAGACAGTTGACGGCACCCATTGACTTCCATAGTAGGGGAAAAATACTAAGGGAGTCAGTGGCTACTGTAAACTGCTGGTTTCCAACGTTCTTCAAAATATCTTCTTTTGTGTTCAACAGAAGAAAGAAACTCCTACAGGTTTGTAGTAACCTAGTAAGGGTTAGTAAGCAATGACAAAATGTTCATTTTTGGGTGAACTGTCCCTTTAAGATTCTTAAAATTTGAGAGTGCGTGAATGACCACATTTTAATTTGGGCCTTATCAATTTAAATTCTATTTGAAAAAGTTGTGACCTACAGTTACTTCATTTCAATATTGTGATGTATTTTCAAGTGAAACTTAAACTGAGTGGGTTTAACGCTCATTGCCATCACAGTAGACTCACGGTTGGAAGGAAGTGGTTAAGGATGTTCTGTTAAACTGACGTCTTCAGGGAAGGAATGCCAAGGGGAATACAATTTTCAGATTTTGACGAAAGATTACGGAGACAAACAATGTGGATTAACTTAGTTCCACGGATTAATTGACTGTGAACGAAGTAAAAAGAGGCAGATTTTGATTTCATGGATTTCATTTGAATTCAGGGGCCATTTACACAACAGTATTTTCCTCCAAAAAAACTGAAAACTGTTTGTGTTTTGGTTGTTCATTTACATGACAACAGCGTTTTTGGGTGCCTAAAAAAAGTGTACTTTTGAAAATGGTCCCATTATCGTCAAAAATTTATTAAACTGGTGACGTCAAGTTATCAGTTTCGGATTATTCAACGCTGTCTCACGACCAATTCGTACAAATTCGTACGAGTGATTAAAAAGCGGCTAATTCGTACTAATTCATACGACCTCACTTGTACGAATTCGTATCATTTGTCTAAACCCACGTGTTGGGTAGGTTTAGGGGCGGGGTCAGGGGTAGGTCATTCATACGAATTCATTCGAATTGGCCAACTCGTAAAATATGTACAATTTAGCAAAAATGAGGTCGTACGAATTGTTGCGAATTAGCCACCTCGTAAAATTCGTACGAATTGCCGTGAGATCGGGTTGGATTATTTCTTTACAAAGTGTCATCTCCAACTACTGGCCTGACATGAAAAATACAGCGTGTTTAGTCGTTTTTTTGGGATCTGTGTGAATGGGGATCATTTTGACAACGTTTGTCGTCTGTATACGAAATACGCAAAGGAATAACGTTTTTGCTCATGTCTTTAAATGTTATATTTTGATTTGACAATTTTTTTGATCATATTATTGTGGTATAATGTTAAACTTAGACTATTACATTAATATGTCAAAACATATAATCTCGGGCTGATTTTAAAACGAAAACTCATTTTTTTCTCATGTGATTATTAAAACTTAAATTATGTTATTATTAGCTTATGCAAAAGTACAGGTATGCAAAATATAGCAAGTATTTGTGTACTGTTGCAAAAGTATAAAAGGTGACAGCCACACATGAATATAATAGGTGGTGAAAAACTGTGCCTGCAAACCTAGTGTGTAGGCAACACAATATTTCCTTGTTTTTTACTGCATTTTCAGCAGGTACCAGATGACAGTACCCTCAAGATAGTAGAAATCATATTTGTCGCATTCATGTCATATTTCCTGTTGAGTTTATATCTATTCATGCTCATGCATTATTAACTTATGTAGCAAACTTATCTGGTGCCTGTGTGTGTCTTACCACTTCAAATTCTCAAACCCTTCAGCTCTCACTAAGGGATCTCAGCTTTTAGAAAGCACCACAGCTCCTGAACCCTACCCTACCCATCAGAAGAGGACCCGTTATTACTGAGACGTTCTGAATCTGCTGTAGGGAGATGTGCTACACTGCTGAGTCTACGTTTTTAAAGGGCCATTTTGACCCTGATGCTGAAATGAGAACATTTGGACGCTCCTGCAGGGGATAGAACGTGACGGCAATGCAATGAGGAGGAGTTCAGGGAAAAGTCAGGAGGAACCTCATCAGTCAAAGACAATTCAAGATATATTCAATTGAGTTTGAAGTGTGAAATACATTTTTTAGAAACAAATTTCATTTAGAAATTGCAATTAAATTTCAGAAGCAATTACAAAGTAATAGTTGAAAGTGTAAAACTGAGTATTTCTTGTAAAACTTACTCCAATAATCTTTTTTTTAAATCTTAAACCCTCCACCTCCCCCAGCACCACCTGCCTACAGTAGATCTGCTAAGTGATTTAAGCAGGGCCTAAAATGAACACTTTCCAACACCTTTGGCGTATTTCGCGAGTTTCATTTTTGTAAACAGTGCCATGTATCAGTTGGCCGGTAACATTTTTATGAATTCTAACAATGCATGAACATCAACAGACGTGAACTACACTCGGGACAGTTGACGAGCCAGCACTACATCATCACAAAAGTTTAAGCCTTACCAATTTAAATATTCAAGCACAAAAAGACTCGAAAGGGACCTAATTTCTTAACTTTGCGCGCTCAGTGGAAAGTTTTGTGTGCGGATGCGCACACATCCAGGGCACATGCCCAGAAAGCCTCGTCTAACGCCGCCTTCACACTGGCAGTTGAAATCAGCGCCGATGCGGCTGCGAAACGACCGGAAGTCATTCATTTCCTATGGAGATTCGCAGACCGCATGCGAATGGGTCCGAAACGGGTCCGACCGAGTGCGGTGCGAAGAAAATCGTGTCCGTTGGTCATCCGGATTGGGTTCAAAAATTTGAACTCTTGCGAAAAGCTACGGACGGTTCCTATCCGACAATTCCAGCGGAAGTTGACCGTTGCTATGGTACTGATAAACAAACCTGAATTATTAACTTTTAATCAAATAAATATTGATTTTATAACGATAAGTTGTCATGTCATTTTTTATTTTCATGACTTTCTAACGTTTATAAGGGCAGTTAATACAATTAAACTGAAGGTAGACATTAAACTATTGACCACTATATCACATTTTTTAGCCGACCTGACATGTCAGCAACTTTCCTCACGCAGCATAACCCTCATCAGAGAGATCATTCAGAACTGACAGAATCAACTTTTAACCTCTCAAAAAACCATTTTTGTTCTACCCGCGTCCGACGCTTTTCACTGTGTAGTACGACGTCCGTTGGGAACGTATTGCGTATTACGGAGCTGATTTAAACTGCCAGTGTGAAGGCGGCGTAAGACAGCGTGCAAATTTGAGAAGACAAATTCACACAAAATTATGTCAAATAGAGGGTCCAGGGTCAGTGTATTAGAT